CTCCTCGGGACTTTCACTGACGCACACACACACATACACGCGCACACGGACACGCACACGCACACAAATTCGAACTCCCACACATAAAAGCACAGCTTCGATTATTTCACTTTCGTCTCTTTCGCGCATTTGCTCCATAAACCTGCTTTCTCGTTTGCATTAAATTTCCCATAAGAATTCCCAATTCATGTTTTACCTCCAACAAATTTCCCATAATTATTCCCCATTCCGTGTTTACTTTTCCCGTTCGCAATTTGTTTGTTTGCACATTTGCAGCTGTTGTTGTTGTTGTTGTTGCGGCAGCTTCTGTTGCATGTTGCTTGTGGGTGCACATTTCGTGCACGCGCACCCGCCGCATGCGGGGAGTGAGAGAGTGAGAGAGAGAGAGAGAGAGTAAAAAGCTTTTGCCAGAGAGCAAAAAGCTCTGCGCGTTTTCATTTCGCTTTCTTTGCGGATTCTGCGCGCTGCTCGTTCGTTTTATGAATGAAAGCTTTGCGCCGCACAAAATGCACCAAAAAAGGAAACATTTTCGGTTACTTTTCAATGAGTTCGGTCAAGCACAAGTGTGAATGATCTCGAGGGTAGGCCGGACTAAGAAACACCCTGTGTGAAGGTTTAAAGAATTTCCCTAACATAAGAAATTTATATTTTATAATTTTGCAAAAATATGCGAACTTTCATAAAGGACATTTCACTTGTGGTTTGATTAGAGACTTTACCAGCACGCTTATTGCTTTTATACATTTTCTAAATTTTTTGCTACTGTTTTCAGAGCAATAATAATTTATAGGTGGAGCACAGAAAATCAAATTCCTATAATTAATTTAGTTCAAGGTGAAATGTTTATAAAGAACTCAAAGCCATCAATTTAATTGGTTAAGCGCAAACATTATACACATTAATGGCGTACTAGACGTATGCGTAATGTGCTAATTACACTGTGCTGCAAGGTACATATATTTACTTGCACCAGTTTACATAGTCATGTATGTGTGCATGCGTGTGTATGTAAATGTATTTATGTATATGCTTGCATTTGATTGCCTCGACTTCCACATTTGTTTATCATATTTTGACTTTTGCTGTGAAATAAATCTGCAAGCTCAGCTGTCTTGTTGTACAGTGTTTATATGAATATGGCGACAGGCTGGCTGCCCAGCCTGGCTTTTTAGCTGACAGTGCAGTTAACGGTAAATTATCTGGAAGTCAGACGAACGCTTGAAGCAGCATTAAAAATGCATAGTTAAATGGGGATAAAGAGGGGGGGAGGGGGGGGGGGCGCTACTGTGGCAGAGTTAAATTGAAGTTTGCCGTCCCGGCGGGTGTTATTCCATATTTTATGTGTATGTAATTACACGCCAAGCAGCGGGACAGCAGCAAATAGTGATTAATGTAATATTTACACGCGCACGCTCTACAACTAAAAGTTAGTACGGGTGCACGACTAAGAGATACCCTAAAGATACCTGAAACCCCCCTTAACTCTTCTTCGTATTCTTCCAGCCTATGGCAAATGCTTTCTTGAATAGCTTCGGTGCTTATAGTCCGATCTTTGAAAGAGTTAGAATTTTTGTATACTATACAGGAGTCTACATACTAAAACTTGTGCTTCTAGCTCTAATGAGCTTCGATAAACATAATTTCGATAACGATTTTTATCGATATCATGCAATAATTTAAAACATATTTGATAAAACGATTTACGTTCATAATATCTAATCTCAACATCGACTCGCCTGTTGAAGCTGAGCGAGAATAAATGTACATGCTTTATGGAGTCGCCTGATAAATACATATTCATTATACCCTTCCCTTTCTACTCATTAAATGGGTTCTGGGCATAATTATGTATATGCATTTGTACATAAATACTCAATAAATGAACTGATTTGTCAGCTTTGCCTCATTAGACGCACTTTCGTGGCAAGTTGTCAAAGCTCAGGGCAATGAGTTCAATGCACTCCCAAAAAGCCAGTTGGACTTGTAGTGTTTCCCCATATCTTAATGAGCTAATACTATGTGGCATAATAAGTCATACAAAAACAAAGTGAGACAAAAAGAAATACACAAAGAATTAAAACAGAAGCAGAAACAGAGCCAAACAAAAGACTCACCGAACAGCTTTTCGAACGAAAGCGAAAGCCGAAAGAACGACAGTTGCCCTGTTCCAGCCCATTAAACAAGTGGTTGTTGGAGAGGTCAACGTTGAATTAATTATGAAATTTGACACACAAATTCTCGAGATCTGCCGCTGTCTCCCTCTCCCTCTCTCTCTCTCTCTCTCTCTCCCTCTCTATCCCAAGCACAACATATGATTACTTAAACATTATTCTCGGCTCTGTTAACTACATTTTCTCATATACAGTGGTCGCTCGAGAATAATTACACTTTTAATTCAGAGCTAATTTAAATTTGAGAAGAATTTGAATTTGTGGAAGCTTTGTTCTACGCTGTGTTGTCAATTCAGCTATTTTTTTGGTCAGAAATGGTTGAAGTTTTAAACTAATTTAGCTATTTAAATAAAAATAAATATAAAACGAGTGTCTTCCTAATTATTAAATACACCAAGTTATGAAAATAAAATACTAAAAGCCTAATTATACACAATTTTCTAATAGCATCAGCGACTGATAGAGTTTTTATGACAATGACAACCCTGTTTTTTTTTAATTAGTGCTCAAAAAACTTATTCAGCTACATTCATCATTTTTTAACATTGGATTTAGCTGATATTTTTAAGCGGCAGCTTGCAACACTGTTTTTTATTTAAATTTTTTTAACAAGCGGAATAATGGAATTTGTAGAAATTATCATTTTCTATTTTCTAATAGTATCATTCCGTCTCCGCTCTCGATTTATTTATATTTATTTATATTTTCTGTAAGTTCAACCAGTTTAGCGTCCATTGTACCGAGTATACACTGTGCTACAATTAAAGCAACGCCCGAGGCACGCAACTTTTGCTGATGTCAGCGAGTCGAGTTTATGACTAATGAAAAATCCCAAGGAAAAATTCCTTATCATTCGAATATTTACTATTCTAAAGCGTGTCGAAAAATTTGTTTCTATTTTAAGTTGAATGCATTAAAAATATACAATTATTTGTTTATTCAAATAACAGTTATTGATTACAAACATGTCAGTAAATATTATGATATGCTGTTGTTTTTATTTATTTGACACAACATTGATTTAAGATATTATCGCTGTCTGATAAGCAATCGCCTATTGGAAAATCCAACAGGTTTCATAAGCTAAATATTGCTCGCATGTTCGTGCTTATTAGGCTAAATATTTATGCCTTTCATTTGCCGCAATCACAATTATTGAAATGAGCAATTGACGGTTTTGATAGTCGCCTTTAAAGTCGTTTTATAATTTAGTATAATACGAACGGGCATTGGGCGCACGAGGCGTGATTCATGTTGATAAAGCGTGAGGGCCCGCACCTGATAATAATTGGCTTTTTTCCATGCCTCAAAGTTAAGTACAGTAGACACTCACAAAATGGGTTCTTTTTGGGTTTTACCCAAATGGTGCTTGTAAAACACTTTATCTTAACTTGAGTTTTATGGCACAATTTCGGGCAATAAGCAAGAATAATGGCAGAGCTTAGATAACAAAGGCAATTTTAGAAACCTTCTCTGAATTATTCGCAAGTTTTGTCGGGCATTTTAACCAAAACCCCCAACTAACTTTCAAACAAAAAGATAAAACTAGTTTCAAACGGTCAAAAATATCACATTTTGGTCTATCGATAACCGATAACTTACACAATGTCAACATTCCAGCTGGTCAAGTGTTGCCAATCGCCGTTTCTAATACACATAAAAATAGCCTAAAGTACTTTGTCATGGTCATTCAGATGCCAGAAAATAGCTTTAATAGTTTTAAATTGTTGCTATTTTCGGCTGAAGAACTCGAATAATTGCCACATTTAGCTTGAAAAGAAGCCGCTAATTTGGCAACACTGGCGTCCAGCTGGCCGACCCAATAGCTTAACTAACGGATCCTGCACTGTAGCTGCTGTCAGCTGCACAGGTGTTTATATACTTACGCTTATGCTTATACATATGTATATGTTTATGTATGTGTATATATATGTGTGTGTTGCACTTACCGTGAATATGCTGCTCTTGTGCTTGCGGTTGCGTATGACCAGGCCCGCCAAGGGCTTTTTCACGTAGATTTTGGGCATCTTGTTGCGTTTGTAATATACGTGGCCAATAATGTGTTCCGCCCTCGTCTCGACAGCAAACAACAATTGTTCTATATGCGTATTTGTAAATGTGTTTTGGTTTTGTCTAATGCACGACGTGGGCTAATCGCAGCCGCAGGGCCAGCCGAGCCAGCGTTGCAGGGCGTCCGCGGTGGCGGTGGGGATGCGGTTGGGGCTGCGTTGTTTTTATTGGGTGTCACAGCAACAAATTGCATACATTACACTTGTGGCGTTTATTTTGAATAATACTTTAATTTGGCGACAACGATTTATTCTTTAATAATTCCTATTTATTAAGCAACAACAACGCGGCGCGCACGATGTCGATGATGCCTGCTGCGCTTGTTGGCAATTTAATTGGCGGCTGCATCATCATCCCTCTGGATAAAATGTGAGTCAATTTTGGGCCGACAGACAGCTGACAACACTTGGGCAAGTCACTGAGACGGCACTGGTTATTAAAATTGTTAAAATTGATTCGATTTTTACAGAAAATTTAATGCGTTCGTTGCAAACACGGGCCGAAATGCGAGCACAGCGCTTTCTTTGCGCCAAAAAATGCCAAAACGCGTCGGAGGGCTCCGTATGAATTCCAGTGTTGCCATGCAACGACGAGAATAATCGAAGTTAATCAAAATTTATCGATAACTGTTAAAACTTCTTGGGTCTTGTGTGGCTGCAAATCAAAATATAAAATTTAGTTTATTTATGTTTTTTTTTTCGAATAGAATGCGTTTTGCCTAACATTTAGGTAGGTTAATCATCTGGCTGTTGTATAGATTAAATGAATATGCTTGCCCACAGCTGGATTCAAAATGGTGCGCGTTTTGTTTCTGCATCCCGATCTGGGCATAGGCGGCGCCGAGCGTCTGGTCGTGGATGCCGCCCTCGCGCTCAAGGAGCGCGGCCATGAGGTCAGCTTCCTGACCAACCATCATGACAGCACGCACTGCTTCAAGGAGACAGCCGATGGCAGTTTTCCCGTTCATGTGGTGGGCGACTGGCTGCCACGCCAGCTCTTTGGCCGCTTCTATGCGTTCTGTGCCTATGTCCGCATGCTGTATGCCGCCTTCTATGCCAGTTTCTTGATGCCCCGGCGACAGCAGGTGGATGTTGTTGTCTGTGATCTGATTTCCGTATGTGTGCCCGTGCTGCGCCTGGCCCGGCATCGTCCGCGTGTCTTATTCTACTGCCACTTTCCTGATCAACTGCTCAGCGCTCAGGCGGGTCTGCTGAAGCGTTTATATCGTGCACCCATCAATTGGCTGGAGGAGCACACCATTGGCCAGGCGGACAAGGTGTTGGTCAACTCCAAATTCACATTGCGCGTGTTCCAGGACACATTCCGGCGTCTGAGCACCGTGCCCGATGTGCTGTATCCCTCGCTGCACACCCAATACTTTGACCAGATGGAGCACAAGCTGGAACAGCGCTCCGTTCTGCTGGAGGAGCCGATACATGCGCGTGTGCCGCGCAATTCCTTCATCTATCTGGACATCAATCGATACGAACGCAAGAAGAACCACGCCCTGGCGCTGCACTCACTGCGCCTCCTGGGCAACATGCTGCCCACACTGGACTTCAAGCGTTGCCGCCTGATCATCGCCGGCGGCTATGATACGCGTTGCACCGAGAATGTCGAGCATTTCGCCGAGCTGGAGCAGCTGACGGTCAAACTGGAACTGCAGGATCATGTGGTGCTGCTGCGCTCGCCCACAGATGAGGAGAAATGCCGACTATTGTATTTCGCACATTGTCTCCTCTATACGCCCGAGAACGAACACTTTGGCATTGTGCCGCTGGAGGGCATGTATTTCTGCAAGCCGGTCGTAGCACTGAACAGTGGAGGACCCACCGAAACGGTGGTGCACACCTCCACGGGCTTTCTGTGCGAGAACCAGCAGAAGAGCTTCGGTGGCGCCATGTACCAGCTGTTCCGCGACGAGGCGCTGCGCCTGAAGATGGGCGAACAGGGCCACAAGCGTGTCCAGCAAAAGTTCTCCTTCGAAGCGTTTGCGGATCGTCTCAACCAAATTGTCGAGGAGCTGTTGGCCGAAGGCGGCGACAAAAAATTCCAATAAATATGCAGAGCAACAAAATGTGAAATTATGCTTGGCGTTCTTTTATATATAAAACTGAATTGAAATACGATGATTAGCTAGGAAAGGTTCGGCAAGTAATAGAATAATATAGTTGGGAATACTTTAAAGAGAGTTCTGTTAACATGAATTAAAAGAAAACCTTTCTATAAGCTCATAAGCTTGGCAATAGTTTAAGGAGAATTAATTTGGCAAATTTAAAGATCGGGTAAAGATGATATATAGGAAACAAATTTATAAATCGCATAAGCTTGATATACTTTACTTTAAGATCACTTGAGATAAGTGAAAGAAATACTCTCTCAAAAATTGAAATAGTTGCAAGATTTTCTATATACATATATCTAAATGAAAGCTTTATGGGATTATCGGATAAGAACAAAGAAATCTCGTTAATAAGTTTATAATTCAAAGGAAAAACCCTTCCATGAAGATATAATATAATAATAATATAAATTTATAATCTAATATAATTCTTCAGAGTTCAGATCATTCAGACAGGAAATACTGTTATAGATTATACATATAATAAGAATAATAATCTATATATATATAATGATTATTCGGAGTGATCTAATATAATTCTTCAAATTGCAGATTAGTCAGAAAGGAAATACTGATTATATATTATATTATATCATATTTTCTCTTCATGAATGTGGAGCAATGCACAACGGGATTCGCTCTCTAATACGAACTCTCTTTATTTTTTTTCCTTTCATTTATTTATATGTATTTGTATAATTTCACAAATCTTAAGAATTGCTGCTTGGTTAGTTTTTAGGGGGAGATCGTGGTCGTCGTGGTCGGGCTCGTGTCTACAAATCGTCGCGCATATACAAATACAGATAGCCGAGATCTTTGGGCGGATTCTGTGACTTGGCCACCTTGGTGTCGTTGTAGATGACCCACTCGCCCTGCTTGCGTATGTGGCAGACATAGTGGCCCACCTGGGCGGAGGTGCCCATGTGGGAGATGAACGCCACCAGCTTGTATTTGCCGGTGCCGTCGCGATAATTGCTCGTGGATGCGGCAGCGGCGGCGGCGGTTGTGGTGCAAGCCGGCGCAGCGATAGGCACATCATCGATGCCGCCTTCGGCGTGCGAGAATATCCAGTCGGTGGCACGCTCCACGTTGCCATCGGTGGCCTTTAGAGCGGCGATCGCTTGGCGCTCGTCGAAGCCCATGCTCATGAGCATGGCCAGACTTTCGGGATTGGCAGCAAAGTGGGCGGCGGCGCCGTCGCCGATGCGTGTATTTGGCACCACGAACGGATCCGATATATCCGGATCGGCAATGTGCTCCATGAGCCAATTGGAAGCGGCCTCCAGTCCGCTATTTTTGGTATGGAAACAGGCGCGTTTGCAGGCCTCCTGCGGAAAGCCCATGTTCAGCAGCTCGGACATGACGTGCTCGTCGAATACAAATTTGGGCGATTCGGCGGCCGGTTCCTGCAGCAGCTCCTCGCCGGCTTGTGGGCCGCCTCGGGAGCGCCAAGCGCCCAGATCCAGTTCATCGGGCATATCCACCGATACGTCCAGTTTCTTGGGCACCCAATCGTCGCCGAGCGTAAATTTGCCCAAATGTATCATCAGAAAGTCGGGCATGCTGGCCATGCGTGTGGTCTTCTTGGCCGTGGTCTTGCCATTGATGGCCGTCGAATAGAACTGTTCGATGAGCTCGGTGCCAAAGAAGCGTTCGAGGCAAGCCTGCAGCGGCACCTTGTGCCGCACCAGATCCCGATCGAGCAGACGCTGGCCACTGGCCCGTGCCGCCTGCTGTCGCTCCTGATATTCGCGCACCTCGTCCAAATTGGTCGCCTGCTCCAGCGGTATGGGCAGCCGGAAGCTGTACTCCTCGCGCATCTTGTACTTGACCTTGCGGCTGGCCATGCACTCGACACGATCCTCCAGCTGGAACTTGAGCGCATCGGCGGGATTGAATTGATTGCGCGAATTGCGATCCAACAACGTGAGCAAATGCAAATAGAAATCGTTGGCATCCTGCTGCTGTTTGGTGCTAAATTCCGGATGATTCTTGCCCACAATATTCTTGAACATGGCCGGCGATATGCCCGTCATATGCTCCATATCCAAAGTATTCGCCGCAATACTGCTATACTTGCCCGACTGCAGACCGTTGCCCAGCTTGGCCATTTGTATGTTGAAATCGTTGGCCGGATCGCTGGGATACGCCTTGAAATAGTGCTCGGCGCCGCTGCCAACGAAACGCTGCTGGAAATCGGGGATAACAAAGAGCACCTGCATCACGCTGTTGATGTAGCACGAATTGCCCAGATTGCGCATGCCCGTCAAACCGGGTCCAGCCACCGGCTGCAGTTCGCTCTCGCTTTCCGTCAGCGCCGACCATTCGCCGATGCGCTGATTAATCTCCAGCTCCAGCTCGACCATGGACTTCTCGCACTTCTGCATGGCGGCCATATTGATGCCAAAGTGTGACAAATGCTTGCTCAAATGCGGATCCAATACCATCTCATCCTCCGGATAGGAGAACACATCCGATTTGCCATCCGCCGTAATGGTGCCCAGCTTGACGGCCAGCGGATAGCCCGTCTGGCGATAATGCTCCACGGCGTGATCGTTGCCGCCGCTGCCATCAAAGAACTTCCGACCACACAGAATGGAGCCGTCGGTCAGATTCAGCCACAAATTGTTGGTCAGATCACATTTCTCGCATTGCCAGCCCGCTGGCGGTATCTTCTTGCCGTTGTCCAGCTGTTGCAGATTCTCCGCATACTTCGATGCCTGACGCACCTCGCCGTCCCAGGTGCCTAAATCGAGGTGGGTTTGGTTAAAGGATTAGCTATCCAACAGGATTAAAGTATCCGACTGGCGGTTCATTTGACGCAGGGCTCCAATATGGACAGACTGGCATCTGACTTACCTGTGAGCGTGGCCTTCTCCAGCTTGGCAATGGCCGAGTCCGCCTCGATTATGGCCTGGACGCATTGTGTGACGCGCAGCGGCAGGTCCGCGTCTGGGTACGGCAGCTTCTTGTCCAGATGCGGCGACACAACAATGCTGTACGTATCCTTGATCTCGTACTTCTTGGCCAAGTCAGTCTCATTGTAGCCGCCCTCGACGCCAATCGCGAGCCGTGTGATTTTGCGCTCCGGCCCGGCCTCGGCCTCGGCCTCCTCCGCCTTCAGTTTCACGTCGTGGGACTCACCCGCCTTTAGTTTGCGTTCGCGTTTAATGTGCAAAAACACGACATTGCCGGTTTTGGCGGCATATTCGCGCACATACGCCTCACCAAAGCCCAGGAAACTTTGCAGACAGACATAGAGTCCGGTCGGCGTTTCGGGATTATCGTAGGAGAAGACGCATTCGTCTTTGTAGATCGGTGGATTGCCGCAGGGTACGTTTACCTTCGATAAATGCTTGCGTAGCTCCTCCATAACACTTTTATTATTCACAATCTATATTTATATATATATATATTTCACAAATTGTGATGAAAATTTATTGAATTTCCTTGCAGCTGCTGCTGCGACGCTTTTGCATTACTCGGCAGAATTCGAAGAGTTGCCAACTTATCGCAAATCGCATGCGGCTAAATTTGCCCACACACATTTTTTGCCGGCATTTCACACCATACTGTGCGTGCGCGCGTTGAAAAGCTGACTGCTATGCAATTCGAGCGGGCAATTTGAAAGGTCCGTTGAATTTGAATATTGATAATTTCATCTACATTTTGCATTTATTACTCTTTTTGAAAATTTTAAATTCAGATTACATGGATTTGTTGTTGTTGTTGTTTTTTGTTGGGTACATACAATTTGTATTTCGATATATATGTATATACTTTATATATATTTAATGTTTGTTTTTTGCAAATTTTTGATGTCGGGGCGCAATCGCTTTTTGCATTTGATTTGCTTACTTGGCTAAAACACAGATTAACACGTTTATTTGATGCTCCTACATCACTCGAATGTACTCGTATATATATATATATGTTCATTATACATCAAGTACGCACACACAATTATCTAGAATTTCCATTTGCCCTTCTATTCGACGTGCTTTGGTAACTTGCTCGTAACAATTTTAAAGTACAACAATAAGTTTAATTAATAGAGTACGGTTTGCATAATTCACATATATCAATTATGTTACATATATGTATATATATGCGCACATAATTACATAGATTGCATAGATCTTTTATACTTGTTAGTGTATTTTGTGTGCGGTGCAGAAAATGTAGAAAATAGGTGACCTTTCAATTTGTCCCATGTGCGTTTATTTTTATTTTTATTTTTATTTTCATTTGTTTTTTTGTTTTTCTTAGCGTTTTAATCATCATCAATAATGCCGGAGGTTCATTTCACATATACGTATGTAAAAAAATACATTTTACGCTTCTCTCTTCACTTCCGCGCTACGCTTCTCTCAATATTTAGCTATGCTAAATAATTATTGTTTAAATTTTATGCTGATATATAAATATGTTCATCAAGATAGTTACCGGTGTGTGTGTGTGTGTGTGTGTTGGGTGTGTTGGGTGTATCAAAAAAAAGGGGGGAAAATAAGGGGAAATTAAATGTGTAAACAACCGTTTAGTAACTTTCTCAAGTGCTTTATACATTTAATCAAATCCTGGTCCATTTTATTAATTATTTAACTTTATAGAGAGTATTTGACTTGACCGACATATTGGTGTATGCGTATATATATTAGGGTATATATATATATATTTAAGTGCCAAACCAACCGACTTAAACCGACTTATCGCATACACTATTATACTGTACACGGCCCTCGACTCGACTTACCTAACTAACAATAACGCACACCAAACAGAAATATTCTTTATATATATATATATATATATATATACTTTTGCTTAAATATGTTAAATATGTTTGTGTGAAAAGTAATATTGCATAAAAGAAGAGTATACAAAATAAAACAAATTAAATTTGATATCTGAGTAGGCATTATTCTTATTGTTTTTTTATTATTATTTTAATTTTTTTAATTA